GTAAATTGAAAAACATTTAATGTAAATATAAAGAAAAATCATTTTATGTAAATATAAAAAATGTGGAGACGCGATAGGATGATTTTTGGGAATTGAAAAAGGGATTTATTCCTTGAATGCCAACATCCTTTGATTTACCGACAATTTACCTGTAAAATTATGTTGGCATTCGAGGAATAGGTGCAAGTAGTTATCACAACAAAAGTGCATGCTTATCGAAACAATCATACTAATCTAGTTCATATTTGTCATAGTTTTTGAAAGTAATTTTTTACTGTTACTGCTTGACAAATATGGATTTTTCTTAAAATGAACTTTGAAAAGTGTTGCATCACACAGTCAATATGTGCACATTCTACAATAGAGTCTTTCGACTTTGATGGGTTTATTTTCAATATTTCTATATATAGTTGTGAGTGCTGTAATATCCTCCCATATTACTTGTTGGAATTTTTTGAAACTTTGTATCTCGTGTTAGATTACTTTGTTTTATTTTGTTCAGTTGTTCAGGATAATTTCTTGGTTATACTATTACACCTTTTTTTTTATTGTAAGTGATGTATAATATATTGTTTAGTCGCTATACTTTTCAGAATTCTTGTTACCCTATTTTACGGATTAAAATGAAACTATGTATAGGTATGGAAGATATTTTCATATTTTTTTATAGCATAAAAAGAAGATAAATAAATCTATTTTGAATAACATATTATTTATTTGTACACAGTGCACACAGAAAACAATACAAATAACATAAGCAAACATTTAGAAAATTGACAAAAGCACTACATATTTGATCAGATAACAATTGTTGAATAGTTTATACAAGAACTTTTCACATTTAACAGTTTTATTACAAGTGTAAAAAATAGGATGCTGTACAGTTGTCATCTCTCTGTTGGCGTGTCTCTGTTTCAGGTTACCGAGTCTGGTTTGACAATTTCTCTGTATTTTCTTTTTCTGTTGATTCGTTTACCACGGGCGGCGTACTGCAGCATTTGACATCTGGAAGCAGCTTCCTGGCGTTGTAACAGCTCGATCAACTTGTAGATATTTGGGTGTGGAGTCTGGACGATTTTCTTGATCTGTGAGTGCCACCCCTCTAAGTTGTTGGTTGTTCTTGGTCCTACAATGTTGTAATGGTTCCACAGATGACGGTTGCCTTCTACCCAGTACTCGGTCACGTAGTCAGTAAATCTTACGGTGTTGATATCAGTATCTACATTCTTTAAGTCTTGGAGAGACTGAAACCAGACGTCCTCTACCTCATCAGTTGGTACCATTGGAAGAACTGCTGTTCTTCTCACCAGTCTGTGGATGTCCTCGTTGTTCGAATATGGAACTTGCAGGCCACACTCTTGAGTTTTGCGCCAGATACAATTGGTGTAGTGGAAAAAGCAACCTTTCTTGGTGATGCCAGGAAACACTGTAGATGCTGCATTGTGTGCTGCTGTCTCGTAGTCAAGTACTATAGTCTCTGGTTGAAGTTGTAGTTGGTGTTGTTGACAGTAACCTTTAAGTAGTTAGAAGAAACGGATGTGGGTTGCCTGGTCTTTTCCTGGTGGTAACGCAAAGACGAGTGGATACATAGCTCCATCTACAAAGCTGTGTAGGAAGTATAACTGGTAAAAAGTAGAGGGACAACTGTAAAAGGTGCCATCACCATAAAGAGTAGAAGCTGCTGTCAAGTGGCTCAAGTTGAAGTGGGTGCTGAATATCAGGATACGGTCTTGGTCTCCATCATCAATGAGTAGGAAGTTATCACCAGTTGTCGTCTCTCTCCATTTACCCTCTAAGTTGATCTCCTGTCTTGAAATTTGCAGTTGAGGTATCGTCTTACTGTGCTGGGTAAAGAGTGATGTCTTACAGGTTGTAAAGGTGGGCATACTCTGGACTAGTCTTTCAGAGTCGTTGTCCCAGTCTCTGTTGTGTAGTTTGACTAATTCGTCTTCATAGATTGTTGGTACTGGAGTGCTTTCAACAAGACATCTTTCTTTCATTCTTTTGAGTACTTGATCAACATTGAGTAGAACTGGATCTGAAGGGTGATTATGCTGATCTCTGATGTTAACTGGTATTCTATTTAGTGTGTTGATGGTAGCTTTGCAGTCTTAGTCTTTACTCTGTATTTGTAGTTATCGTAGACCAAGTTTTCTTTGCCAAGACGATTCTCACCAAACTGTATATTTAACTGTTTTGTTTTTTTTTTTTTTTTTAAATGAGCACTCAGACTGAACGGTTTAGAAATTAATTTTAACACAATAATCACAATATGACTTAACAGTCAGGATTCTACTTCGTCAAAATTATCTCCCCATTACACCAGTTCATTTTTACAATCGTAAAAATGGAAGCCATTGTAGGGATGACGCGCTTCCAATTTAGCTCTTGAAAACCGATAAATTTATCCACATAGCACCATTACGATCCTTATATGCCAGGTGTATTTTAAAAGACAAATGTATCTACTAGCTAATGAGCATCAGTTAATGTACTTGTCTGCATTCAGTCAACTTAAAACTATTGTCGGATCGGTTGTCAGGTGGAATTTTTGGAAATTCATAAACATTTAAAAAAATTCTAATTAAATATTTCGTGGAAGGTCAGACTAAAAATTTTCAGTGGTTGAAGACTATAAACCCTCATTATCACACACAAAAAATGAAGTTTTTTCGAAGATATGCATTTTTAAGATCCAACTTAAAAGTCAGTCGTCAAGTACTTTTAGTAAAAATTTGCTATTCAAACACACCTATTCTGTTTTTGTGATTCATTAGAAAGGTATTTCACTTGACCCATATATTTAATTTTTTAGTACCTGTAGCCTTGATATATAAAAATAATAGAATCTGAAGCGAGATGATGTATCAAATACTCTTGCTTTATACGTTTTCAAGACAAAATATTTAACTCAAACACGCCCTGACATAAAAAGGTGCACTCGATTTGATCTTTTCGATGCAATTGTTACCCATTTTTTGAATTTTTTCTTGAGTTACATAATGGAAGGGCAGAAACGAAAATTAAGGAACAAATAGATTGATATGTTCTCCGTCCGTGGAAAAAAAAATAAAAAATCGGAGGTTATGCATTTTTTAGATCCAACTGAATAGACAACCATGTCGTCGACTTGGTATCTAATTGTTCTGCTTAATTATGTAATAGATAAATTGAAAACTTATGCAAATTGTGTTTTTATGAAAAAATACATCGTAATTTAGCCGAAAACTGTCATTTTATTTGTTTCTATTAACTTTTAAAAATTTTGTTACTATAGTAAACATTACAGTAAGCATTTATCGCCTTCTCTAACAAAGAGCTTCGATTCTTTTGTTCTCTTTCAACTGGGTTTCCGCCTGTTAAGTTACCTGTTTTTAACTGTGCATTAGCCATACTTGAAAAGTGAATGACATGACTTGCCTATCCTCCCCTTTTATGTGCACATTATTTGCTTGGACATGAGTTCACTCGGTGTCAGCTTGGGCTTTGAGCATACTCATGCTCACCCAGTTTCCAGCTTGGAAGTTATCAAATTTGATTAATTATTTCTTATGATTTTTAAATTTTAATTAATTGTTCATTGAAAATAGAAAATTTCATGTAGTTCACTTTAACTAATAAAACATTTAAAATGATGTGGAATTAAATAAATCTCTGATATCCTTTTTTTAGTTTGAAATAATTGTATCTTACTAAAATTCTTTAGTATTTCTTAAATATTTGTCTTATGCTAATAAAAACATTTCCATTCCCAAAATATCTTTCGTTTACAAAAAAAAAGTAATAAAAATGTTTGAATTTATTGATTTCTTTCAAATTCATAATAATTTTAACCCCAAATTCTACTATTTTATTTATCAAATGTTGCAATTTTATCAGGTTTACTAATTATTTTTTACAGTTAAATACTTATAAAAACATTTTAATAGTTATAAAAACACCTATTGTTATTATATAAACATCTATTGAAATATTTTTGTTGACATTCAAGGAATAGGTAACATAAAAGTTGGCATTCAAGGAAGACACCGAAAAAGGTGCGTTAAATCGGCGATAATCCGGTAACTAGTAAAACAGTTGTTAATAATTCTTTCGGTTAAAATATACCAAGCTATTCAAAAGTATAAAGAGGATAATAATAATTCATTTTATTAATGTGTCACATATATATATATATATATATATATATATCTAAAAAGTTATATACAAAATATGATAACATAATATACATAGCACAGTAATAAAATAAGACAAAGCGATTTTAAGTCCCTGTTGATTTAAAGATAATATTTGGTTTATATAAATATAAAAAATATTAATGGTATTTTGTGTTCCAACATACTCATAATCAAACTCGATTATAAATCTGGAAATGTCTGTAAACTAAAGTAACACATTCTTTCTATTTTACTTCGCATCATCACTTTGTATTGCAGCGAACCAGTATTTATACCCATATTTAGAATTAAATTGAAATCAGATTCGGGCTTTTGGAAGTGAGTTTCTGGAAAATCACCGTATGGCCTTCAACAATGAGCCAAACCAATACAACATCGCAAGCTATAAAAGGCCCCGAAATTTCAAATGTAAAACACGTGACAGATTACATAAATGATTTACATTCCTTTCTTGTTTGTGTCCTGTATATGCATGTAATATTTGTCGATCGCCATTTAGCAGTCATCAATCAATCAATCTATTATCGTTGTCTTGAAATATAGACATAAGTATTTATTTTACTATTTTCAAACTTAATTTCTATTTTTTTAATCTTAATATACTTCTATCTACAGGAGGCACTGGGGATAATGGATCAAACGGTAGAAACGGTAATGGAAATGGGGAGCGTAATGGAAATGGAGGGCGTAATGGAAATGGGGTGCGGTGGGGGCGTAATGGAAATGGGGGGCGTAATGGAAATGGTGGGCGTAATGGAAATGGGGGGCGTAATGGAAATGGGGAGCGTAATGGAGGTGGGGAGCGTAATGGAGGTGGTGAGTTTAATGGAAGTGGTGAGTTTAAGGGCAATGGAGGTGGTATGCTAAATAGAGCTGGTATGACAAATGGAGGTGGTATGGCAATTGGAGGTGGTATGACAAATGGAGGTGGTATGCCAAATGGAGATGGTATGCCAAATGGAGGTGGTATGACAAATGGAGGTGGAATGACAAATGGAGATGGTATGCTTAATGGAGGTGGTATGCCAAATGGAGTGCCAAATGCAGGTGGTATGCCAAATGGAGGTGGTATGCCAAATGGAGATGGTATACCAAATGGAGGTGGTATGCCAAATGGAGATGGTATGCCAAATGGAGGTGGTATGCCAAATGGAGGTGGTATGCCTAATGGAGGTGGTATGCCAAATGGAGTGCCAAATGGAGGTGGTATGACAAATGGAGGTGGTATGACAAATGGAGGTGGTATGCCAAATGGAGGTGGTATGCCAAATGGAGGTGGTATGCCAAATGGAGGTGGTATGCCTAATGGAGATGGTATGCCAAATGGAAATGGTATGCCAAATGGAGGTGGTATGCCAAATGGAGGTGGTATGCCAAATGGAGATGGTATGCCAAATGGAGATGGTATGCCAAATGGAGGTGGTATGCCAAATGGAGTAGGTATGCCAAATGGAGGTGGTATGCCAAATGGAGGTGGTATGCCAAATGGAGGTGGTATTCCAAATGGAGGTGGTATGCCAAATGGAGGTGGTATGCCAAGTGGTGGTGGTATGCCAAATGGAGGTGGTATGCCAAATGGTGGTGGTATGCCAAATGGAGGTGGTATGCCAAATGGAGGTGGAATTCCAAATGGAGGTGGTATTCCAAATGGAGGTGGTATGCCAAATGGAGGTGGTATGCCAAATGGAGGTGGTATGCCAAATGGAGGTGGTATGCTAAATGGAGGTGGTATGACAAATGGAGGTGGTATGATAAATGGAGGTGGTATGACAAATGGAGTTGGTATGCCAAATGGAGATGGTATACCAAATGGAGATGGTATGCCAAATGGAGGTGGTATGACAAATGGAGGTGGTATGACACCACAACCAAATGGAGGTGATGTAACAACACCTCCAACGCAACCAACTGCAGATGGTGTGACATCACAACCAACTGAAGGTGGTGGACCATCGCAACCAACTGAAGGTGGTCAGCCACATATGAAATGGAGATTAAGATCTGGTAGAAGATGGGTTCGTGATCCTGACAGTTGGGATTTCAGTTCCGATAGCTCTGATGGTACATGGAGGTCAAACACAGTACGCGGTGGTCGGAGTTCTAGTAGATGGGGAAGTGACAATGGTTGGGATAGTGATAGTGACGAATATCATCCAGCTAGAAATAACATGAACAAAGTGGCATCAAGATTTGGATATGATTCTGATAGAGATGACAGTGATTGGTATAGTGATCGATGGGATAGTGACTCGGACGGTAGATTTACAATAAGAAAATCAGCGATGATATCTATGGCACCTAAACATCCGGTTGGAATCCACAACAATGTACTAGGCAGTGACTCGGAATTGTATAGTGAGGATTCCAGTGACAGATCAGCTGATTGGTATAGTAGTGAAGAATGGGACGGTAAAATAATAAACAAGAATGGAAAAAATAAACAGAATAACATTAATAAGGCAGTATTAATAAGGCCGAGGGGTCATTTCGGTGATTCCGACAGTGATTGGTATAGCAGTGAAGAATGGGACGACAAAAGGATTAACACAAATGGAAATAATAAAAACAATAATAATATCAAGGCGGGAGTAAAGGCGAGGGCTCATTTTAGTGATTCCGACAGTGATTGGTATAGCAGTACTAGTGAGGAATGGGACGACAAAATGAATACCAAGAAAGGAAATAATAAAAACAATAATAATATCAAGGCGGAAGTAAAGAAGAGGGCTCATTTTGGTGGGTCTGACAGTGACTGGTACAGCGACGATTGGCACAGCGATGACAGAGACGACAGAAATGGTTGGGAAGGCAAAAATGACGATAACGGTGACGATTGGTACAGCGATGATGATAATTCATGGGAAAGTGATAGTTCAGAACGAAATTTTAAACGGAAAACTGCAAATCCCACCAAAGTTCAGGGGAATGGTAAAGTAGTAATACCGAAAACGTCTCTTTCCGAGGGATGGGAAGATGATTCAGATATGGATGATAGGTGGGAGGATAATGGAAGAGCATCAAGCATCGTTAGACGGTTAAAACATCCAACATTAAGAAGTCGTACTACAAAAAGACAACTATCGTCTAGAGTTTTAGGTTTAGACAACGATGACACAGATGAAAAATCCATACCTGGAATTAGGTTTTTAGGACGAAACGACGACTAGCCAAATGTTTAGGTTACAATTCCATCGACCATCCTGGTTGAAATGATATTTGCAACCTCATTTTATTTTTCTGACTAAACAAAAGTGAGAGATGAATTAAAATTATTCCTATCTTGGTGATTTTACAAAATGTCTCCAAGAAAAAAGAATTGATACGTGCGATTTTCATATGAGATTTTATATATATATATATTTATTACCGTGATATATAGATCAAACGATCATAAAAATATTGTATGAAATTTTCTTATATGATATTTGATTGCATCTTGATTGTTTTCTTTCTAGAAATTTTAACTGAAGTTTAACCGATAGTGATCGAACATACCGGTCTTGTTTTACTATATCCACGAGAAGCTATGAGATACAAAAATAGAAACATGTAGTAATGAAGGCGAATGTGTTCTGTTAAGTCAGAAAAAAAATATAATCTAGTCAAACATTGAACATTGCGTTGTTTTCAAACTACATTGAAACACTTAATCTTTAGTAGATTAAAAAACAAACCTGATATCGAGTACACAGTTGACTTTACATCCCTTTTTGTCAAGTACTTATTCGGTCAATGAGGCATTTTTCCAACCACACAAAATCCAAGCGAGATTGACAATAGGTAAGTGTCCACAACACTCCGCTAGGTTGATAAATTTTATCTGGTATTCTCAGGTTTGAAGCCGTTTACGATGATAAAAATTCTAAATAAAATCACCATGTCCAGAAGATGAACAAACAATACTGTGTAAATGATTAAATATACACATTGGAGTCCGTGTCCATGTTAAAGGAGTAAAAGTGTTCGTTTATCAGTTAGTGTTCAACAGCTAAATTATGGTAATTGTATATTGTAAAAAAAAACTCATCAAGGATACCAGGCCTATAATTGTGTACGCCAGAGACGTGTTTCTTATACAAAAGACTCACCAGTGACGCTCGAATCATAAAAGGTAAAAGGCCAAATAAAGTACGAAGTTGAAGAGCATTGAGGACCAACATTTCGAAAGGTTTTGCCAAGTACAGCTAATGTAATCTTTTTCTTGTGTAGAAAATCCTCAGTATTTCGAACAATTCAAAGTTTTGTGAACAGTTAATATAAAAATAAGAAGATGAAGTATGATTGCCATTGAAACAACTATCCACTAAAGGACAAATGACGCAGAAGATTAGCAACTATAGGTCACTGTACGGCATTCAAGAATGAGCAAAGCCCATGCCTTATAGCAAGCTATAAAAGGCACAGAAATGACAAGTGTAGAACAATTCAATTGAGAAAACTAACGGCCTGATTTATGTGAAAAACAATAATGAAAAACAAATATGAAGTACAGCAACAAGCGACAACCACTGAACTACAGGCTCCTGACTTGGGACAGACACATACAGAATTTGTACATACGCGCTAATAGGGTTATTTCACCTCTAAGAACACAATTGCTAACACCAGAGACAAGAAAAAAATTGAAAGATTTTTTTTTAAATGTTCAACGTAAAACAAACGTATTTCAAACGAAAAAGTAACGAATAAGAAACAGGGTATCGGTCGAGCGCAGAAACGGGTACATACGCGCTAATAGGGTTATTTCCAATCTACAAACCCACAGCTAACACCAGAGAAAAGAAAATAAAAGAAAGCATTAAAAAGATAAAACGTTTAAAAAGCGAATAAGGAACGAGTAAGTAACAGGGTATCAGTCGAGCGAAGAAACGGGTACATACGCGCTAATAGGGTAATTTCAAATTTTAAAAAAAAGTCTTCCGTGAAAACTTAAGTCGTGTGTTTCTTTTAACTAAAATGACTTTAATTTTCAGTTTCTTAACCGAATTCTTGTCTAATGACCAATTTGAAATTGACTATAGGTCACTGTACGGCATTCAAGAATGAACAAAGCCCATACCTTATATCAAGCTATAAAAGGCACAGAAATGACAAGTGTAGAACAATTCAATTGAGAAAACTAACGGCCTGATTTATGTGAAAAACAATAACGAAAAACAAATATGAAGTACAGCAACAAGCGACAACCACTGAACTACAGGCTCCTAACTTGGGACAGACCCATACAGAATTTGTACATACGCGCTAATAGGGTTATTTCACCTCTAAGAACACATAGCTAACACCAGAGACAAGAAAAAAATTGAAAGATTTTTTTTTAAATGTTCAACGTAAAACAAACGTATTTCAAACGAAAAAGTAACGAATAAGAAACAGGGTATCGGTCGAGCGCAGAAACGGGTACATACGCGCTAATAGGGTTATTTCCAATCTACAAACCCACAGCTAACACCAGAGAAAATAAAATAAAAGAAAGCATTAAAAAGATAAAACGTTTAAAAAGCGAATAAGGAACGAGTAAGTAACAGGGTATCAGTCGAGCGAAGAAACGGGTACATACGCGCTAATAGGGTAATTTCACCGCTACGAACCACGAACTTACAACAGAGATATGAAAATAAAAGAAAAGAAACCATTAAAAAAGTGCAACGTATAAAAAGCGATTAAAAAACGAATAAGTAACGGTATAAGTCCAGCGCAAAAACGGTAACATGCGCGCTTAAAGGGTAATTTCAACTCTACGAACCACGAACTAACACAAGAGACAAAAAAAAAGAAAAGAAAAGAAAGCAAGCCATTTAAAAGATGCTGTGTATAAAAAAAGAATAAGAAAGAAGGTATCAGTCGAGCGCAGAAACGGTACACACGCACTAATAATGTAATTTCACCTCTTCGAACCAAGAACCAACACCAGAGACACGAAAATAAAGCACTAAAAAGGTACAACTTATCAAAAACGAATAAGGAACAAATAAGTAGCGAATAAGTAACAGGGTATCAGTACAGCGCGGAATCGGGTACACGTTCGCTAATAGGGTAATTTTACCTCTACAAACCAAGAACCAATACCAGAGACACAAAAAATAAAGCAAATCAAAGGTGCAACGTATAAAATTCGAATAAGGAACAAATAAGTAGTGAATAAGTAACAGGGGATCAGTTGCGCGCAAAATGAATACTGGCCTACTCGCTAAAAGGGTAATTTCACTTCGATAAACCAAGAACTATTACCAGAGATAAGAAAATAAAGCATTAAAAGGGGGAAACATATTAAAATCGAATAAGTAACGAATAAGGAATAAGGAACAAGTAACGAATAGATAACGAATAAGGAATGAGGAATAAGTAACGAATAAGGAATAAGTAACCAACTTGACGACTGTATTGATTGTAAAAAAAATTGCCACCCCTAACGATTATTAACGATTGAAAGTGACTTATCAAAATTAACGTAATTAAATCATGGCAGATGCCGAAACATCTGTTATATTTCCTATTTTGTAAATTGGTAATTTTAAAATATATCTATGATAACATCTTATATTTTGAAATTTCCAATTTACAAAATAGGAAATATAACAAACTGACCGCAGGTTGGAGAGGATAACATAGGTGAATAACAATCCACAAATATACTCAACAACAAAAGAAACGCAACACATCCATTAGTTTCTTTGGAGTAACAATTTCTATTGTATGTAACTTTTTACAAAAATGATTGAAATGAGTCAAAGTTTTGAGACAAAGTTTCTGAAGTCATAAACACCAAACTCTGTGAACATAACTTTTATCTTAATTTTAATATTTGACATCTAAACAAAAACACACTTTTTTCACCAAAAAAACCAAAAACAAACTGCCGGGAAAACTTAAGTCGTGTGTTTCTTTTAACTAAAATGACTTTAATTTTCAGTTTCTTAACCAAATTCTTGTCTAATGACCAATTTGAAATTGACTTCTGTGGTTGAAACCCTCATTGTCGCCCCTGAAATGATTTTTTTTTCTGTAAAGTTTGCATGAATTTGAAGTTTATGATTGAACTATACTTGATTTCCACAAATTTGACGCAAAAACAAGAAATTGTAGAACTACGATATATGGTAAGATATGGTGCGTTTTTTAGTTGTTAAGTATAGTAGTATCGATCCATCGGTTGTAAATCACGGAAAATTTATCTTTTTCGCAGCTTTCGTTCAAAAGTTATTCACTATCTCGATTTTAAAAAAGTTCATGATGATGTTAAATCCTCAAACACGAAGCTATAAAAACAATTAATTAAGACCCGAGGATTTTACGAAAATTACCAACTTTGTGAATTTATAAACGTACGTATTAATTTTCTTTATAAAAAAAAATGATTTCTATTTGTATTAACGATTTCTTTGTACTAACTTTTATTTACAGAAAATTTTCAAAACAAATCATCATACGCCTAGTGTTATTTGACAAAATCTCTTACAATTTCTCAAACAAGATTTAACAAATGTTCTATATTGATTTGTTATAGTAGCTTATCTATCAAATTCAGGCCAGGTATTGTCGGAACAACTGCTTTATAGAAAAATCAATGGTATGAACATTCGACACAAAAAGGTTTAATTCAAAGAGCGAACGGAACAACAATACGGGATGTTAGTATTTTAATTTATCTATCCAAAATGGAATCAAAACCAGATGTAGTCAATATCAACCAAGCAGAGTATACACCTACACAATTGATTTCTATTCATAGTTGTTTCAGTTTTGGAGTAGGGTTTCTTTTTAAGAATGTATGAGTAAACACAACAAATGGAAGTTTTTAACGACCTTGACTGGCTTTACAGCCCTTGCACGGTCGGTGAGTAAACACTAGCATTTTGGATGACATTTATACAAGTACTTGATTGGTAGATAAACTGTATGCAAAATTATCTTTTAAAGTTTATAACTGTATACTAGTATCATTTGTATGATCATGTGACTATAAAAGCCACGCCCAAAAGCAGAATTTCTCAAATGGAACCGAATACAAAATGCTTCAATACATTATTCATAAGCACAGATCCAAGCATGCAAATATATGAACACAGCCAGACACAATGTGCACGAATGCGAAGAGAATAGTGTGCGTCGAATAACCGAATAAACAAAAAAACAGTAGTTTTTAAACAATATATTGGACATGACGGTAATCTCATTCAGCTATATAAATTTACTGTTTACAAAACTTTGAATTTTTCGAAATACTAAATTTTCTTCCCAATGAATAGATTTCTTTAGCTGTATTTGGCAAAATCTTTCGGAATTTTAGGTCCACGTGCTCTTCAAATTCTTAATTTATTTGGCCTTTTTTACTTTTTCGATTCACGCATCACTGATGAGTCTTTTGTAAACATAACGCGAGTCCTGTGTGCAAAATTTTAAGCCTGTTTCAATACTGAGTTTGTTTTTAATACTAACAATAAGCTCGACAAAGGAAGAAAAAACATTGAAACAACAATTAAAAAACTTCGACTAGATAGCCCACTAGGTTTAAGCATATGCTGTGGTGTTTTAGGAGAGAGGTTGAAATAGTTTACAAGAACCTAAACCTCAAACATGCTTATATACAACATGT